GATCTGGTATGGTTAGATGGCTTTATTCTGTTGAAATTGTATGATTCGAAAAGGCCAAGAATATTTTTGGCGCGTTATTGCTTTGTATTAGGAATACCTTTTGTGAGGTATTTAATTTTTTAAAAAACTTTTAACATATTTTTATGATATGATATCGCAAATATTTTTACTAATAGAAATTTGAAAACTCCTCATTTAAAACTGATCATTATAACAAATCTAATCAAACAATAATCAAAAACTCCATCTTGGGAACTTTCATCAGTTGACTTGTGAACAAGAAATTGATATATTTTGTCCTTTTTTAGGCATATAGAAAATATAATAAGTTTTTTATTACAGGATAACAGATTATGTTATAGACTCACCTAATGTAACAATAAATTCCGATTTATTTGAAGCTCTATGTATACTTAAACTATTAGCCATTATCTTCAGATTTGACGAAACATTTTCAAAATTTATATTTTAAGTGCCTATCAGACCTTTAATTTATCTTATGATTTATGATCACATAAAATATGTTTTTAACACGTATTTGCTCTTAATGTTTGAGAGATTATAAAGGAACCTCTTTTTCCTACATTGGAATTTAGCATGAACGAAGGGGATCGGTGGAAGCATAGTCTAAACCGTTGGTTTTCCACCGCTACGACCGAGGTTCGATTCCCGCATTGGGAACTTTTTTTTCTGATTGAAAAAAAAATGCTTCAATGGACCCCGAATTTTGCAAAAGTTCATAGTCGGTGGACGAGTGGGTAACCCCCTCGATTCGCGACAGTCATGAACCGGGATTGAATCCCGCGTTAAAATTTGTTTAATATGTGAATAACCTTCACATATTAATCATTGTTCAATTATCATGAACTAGGTTGCTCTTGCTGAGCGGTACCTATTCATGTGAATTTGAACCAGGTGCAAAAGTCCAACCCCACCAGCGAGTGCAAGTAACCAAATGGGGCTCTGGCACATTTGTAAGTGCAAACTGCTTTTCACATGTGTAGACATGTGGTGCACTTATAGTAAAAGCAGTTGCTAACTACCCACCATGATTATCATGGCCTGTACCACGTGTACTGGGGATAATAATAAAAGAGTATGAGCGAAGATAACTTTTTTCATCATTTAAAGGTTGTTCGACATTTATTTCAGCTATATTTAATAAAATATTGTATTTTTCTTTTGAAAATCTTCGTTTGTAATTTTGCATATATTTCGAAAGTTGATATAAGTAAATTTTTTACATCTTCGAGAAAAAAACAACCAATCTAAATATAGTTCAAGTATATCTTCTTTATATACAGTTATCAGCGTCATAATCAATTCTTTCTTAATCCATTCTGTGACCGTTTGCTTTGTGAATGGAATAAATACCCAAATATGGCCATTTCTCATAACCATCGGTGGTTCAGTGGTAGAATGCTCGCCTGCCACGCGGGCGGCCCGGGTTCGATTCCCGGCCGATGCATTTTTTTTTTACAATTTTTAAAACTCATTTATATATTATACAAGAATGACATCTACGGCGCCAATTTATAATTGTAGCGAATAGTATTTGAATAAAAGGGTCATTCGGCAAGTTTTGTTATACTTAGAATAGAGTGATAACTATTGAAATTAATCAATCAATCATGTTATATTCTAAATTTAGGGAGTTTGAAATTCTGTTGCTTAAACTGCTATTTTTCTTGAAACAGAACTTTTATTCAATTTTGACTTATTTGTGTGTGTTTTATTTATATTTATTCATTAATTATTATCATTAAAATGCAACATATATATAGTGTGTGTGTGTTGTATAACGACGTTTAACAATTATACCGCAAATGTTTCTTTTGAACGAAAAATCGAAATTTATTTCAAGAAGAAATACCGAATATTTCTATCCTTAGGATGAAGTATGAAAGGATGAATTGTGAAGAGCAATGATAAACGGAAAAATAAAGTGTCCAGGGATAGGAATTCCCATCCCGTTAATCATTACTCTTCACAATTCATCCTTTCATACTTCATCCCTAAGGATAGAAATATTCGTTCTACAATCATAAGCCGCATTATATATATATATAACAACTATATATATTGCATTATATATATAGTTGCTAAAACATTCTTTTCAGAAAATGGAGATTTCCTGAAGGTATATAAGCTCTTCCAGAGTCAAGTATCGGATGTTTATGTCAAAAATCGGAATAACAATTACAACCTCAATATATGTATATGCAAATTATAAACAATTCCAAAGCCATTTATATAAAGTTCATTTATTTTATATAAATGGTAAGTTTTGAACTAAAATTCTTTCTCGAGCCCTATAATTCAAGTTATAAGCTTAATTGTATATTTACTTATATAAAACAAAGAATGTTTTAAAGGCGTTTCATATATCAAAAAAGAACGTGATGTAAAAAGGTTAAAACAAATGTCGCAGAGGTTAGGCCATCTTCTATTATATATTGAATCCTTTATGATGAAACTGATTGGGACAATCTTTGTTGGTGACAAATATTGAATGCCACAGCAAACACTCTTTGACACTTAAATAAAGAGGAAACAAATATGAACAGTTGTTTTATTTTCATAGGTTCTTATATTTCTTACTAAAAGGAAATAGTGATTATTAGCAAAAAGTCTCACATTTGTTGTGTTAGGTGTTGAGTTACACCTGTATAAGAATTGTGAGGTTTCAAACCTTGTATTCTATCTATGCACTGAGAAAAAACATTTCGCCGTTTTTCTTTAACTTTTGCTAGATAGATACTAGGATATTAGCAAGTATAAACGAGATTATTGTTTAAGAGATTGTTTTAAAAAGGACCGTTGTACAGAATAATTTCAGAGTTAAAATGTAATGCGATGAGTCATACTGCCTGCCAATTGGATGATGATCATCCAGCGAGCCGTCCAATGGTGACGACGCAATACCCCGGACGTCAGCCGCTAGATATGACACCACCTCACGCCACTCGGGGGGTGTCGCGACATTCCTACATTCTTCAACACATTTGACATTCCTACAGGTCTTTGAAATTATATTCTCCAGCAGCTCTGGAAAATTCTAAATAAATGAAACTGCATGGCGCCATATCATGAATTGAACTTCCACTATCATTATAGATAAAAGTGAAGAGACTTAGGTGTCAGCTCGGGTAGTTGACTGCTGTATGCCTCAGGAAACGATGTTGTTTTATCATAGGGACTATTTTTTCTTAATAAAAGGAGAAAGTGATTATTATCAAAAAGTTTCACATTTGTTGTGTTATGTGTTGAGTTATACCTGTATAAGAATTGTGAGGTTTCAAACCTTGTCTTCTATCGATACACTAAGAAGAATAAATAATAATTGCGTTGTTCCAACCCCTCAGCACTGCGATGGAAACTGTCTCCAGATGTCACCACCCTTTTCTTGCTACTTGGACATGTCGAGACCTACAGGAACTGCAATAACTGTCACAACACCCAACTTACTCTGGACCATATATACAGTTGCCCGGCCATCCTTGCAGCCCTCTATATGGCAGACCATCAATCCAGAAGAGGACATCCATACGGACAAGGCACCTCGATTGGCCGGTATCGTGAACAGGGTGCACGGACCGATCTGATCTGCTCCATGGACAAGACACCATCACCACCAATTGTGGTATGGAAAGAAATAAGAGATATATATAGCAACCCCTTGGAAGGATTTAAATATGTAAATATACATTCATCAGACGATACAATCCGAAGACAATAATCCTTAAACATGATGACTAAGTAAATCACTCTTCTTCACTTCTCCCTACAAGCAACCCTCTTTGTTCACGATTCATCTACAGAAATACGATTTCTGTTTGAGTAGGATGCCTTATTCTAACTAAGAAACTGTTCGGAGTTGAAATTTGAATTTTTTAGCGATTGTTCAAGACCTCAAAAAAAGGAATAAATCCTAATATTTAGGTTCCTCTCTCAAACTTTCTTGGAATTACAAGCAAAAATCTGTCATAATTCTCGATGTAAACGTACTTAAATATTTATATAAATGGGTAATATATTAATATAGGGCTTAGAGAGAATTGGCTGTCGTTCTAGACTCGTTCGCAGAATGGTCTAATGTTTAGTAGATTATAATTTTCCTGACAAAACTCGGCGTAAAAAAAACTCAATTCTACAAGACAAAGAAACATCCAAGCCTATATTCTAAAATTATAAATGTAAATTCAAAGAAGAAAATTGTTACTGTGTACATTAGATAGTGTAAATGTGTTTTAATGATTATTCATAAGTCATAATTATAACAAGTTTCGCTAGTTATACATAGATAAAGACAGAAATTGACCTGGATCTGAATTATTCGTTATGTCAGATCGGGTTCTTTAATCATACCTTGATAAGTAAAAACGTTATATGGGACAAATCAACACAATTATTTAAAACTAACCTGATTTAACTATTAGTTGGCCTTTAGAATTGAGTAATTATCAGGCGTTCTATTTGTTTTTACTATTTCATACACGTTCAAATTCATTTTTTATTCCTTTTATAGAGTCTCCATTTTAAGTTGTGAACACTCACTCTATGTTTTCTCTCTCTCTTTTTGTGTGTTAGTGTTGAATTCTTTTTCTACTTCCCTTTTCAACATGCTCTTCATTGTCGAAATATATTTTGTTTTAGCAAATTAACATCTTTCCTGAATAAAGAGTAGATTTTAGTCAGAATATCTGTTTTCATTTCAGGATGAAGTAAATAGTAAATATTTCGAGAAAAGAAATGGTTTAATTTATCTCATATATATAAAAGTCAATTTCTGTCTGTCTGTCTGTTTCGCGATAAACTCAAAAACTACTGAACCAATTGGTACCAAATTTTGCATGTCGCTTTTTATAAACCTGAGGAAAATTTTCGGCTGCATTTTGATTAGTATTTTGGCTTTTTTTTTTTTTTTCATTTGAAGAACTTTTTTTTACGCGGACTAATCCGGAATGGAATGAATACCCAAATATGGCAATTTTTTTAAAGCATCGGTGGTTCAGTGGTAGAATGCTCGCCTGCCACGCGGGCGGCCAGGGTTCGATTCCCGGCTGATGCATTTTTTTTAAACAATTTTTAAAACTCATTTATATTATATCTTCTATATATATAAAAATGAATGTTTGTATGTTTGTTTATTTGTTTGTTGGTTTGTATGTCGGTATACAAATTCGCAGTAGTTCACTATTCAAACCAAAATTTCCATACATAGGTAAAAAAATACGGGGGAAGACGATAGGCTATTTAAAAAATATATAAATCAATTATTAAAACTATATATTATTAGTCAGAAAATGATGATGACGATATTGCTGTATCATGTAAGATTATCAGATACAAAATTATATCGGGAAAAAAATTCCAAAAAGCAGAGACCACGGGTGAAACCAGCTCATTATTTTGTACGCAGGAACAAATTCTAACAGAAAAACATTCATCCGAGCAGAAAACAAAAGCCAGATCATCTTTCTATAAAAATATCGCTTCTCAGACACAAAGTTTGGAGCGGGACGTTTCACAAGAGTGATATCCACGCCGCCCATTTATAATTGTAACGAATAGTATTTAAATAAAAACATTTTAATCGGGTAAAACCCGGGCGTTGCCTGGGTCATTCGGCTAGTCTATATATATATATAAAAATGAATGTCTGTGTGTGTGTCTGTGTGTGTGTGTGTCCTCTATGGATTCAAAAACCATACATCCAATCGCCGTGAAAATTTGGGATATTATTAGGCATATCCCCGGAAAGGTTTACGAAAAATAATTTCTTGAATATCTTAAATATCCTTAGAGTTATTTGCAGATTTGTAGCCTTAACTCGCAAGCGGGGGGCGGGTGACCTCCGGGAACTACGTCCATCTTCCATAAACGACCATGATTTTATTCAACTTATCGAGTATTTTTCAAGGGACCGGGAAAATATGTAGATAAAACGATGATTTTGTAATGTAGAAAATTAGGAAAGACAAAATTCAGGATGACACGGCACACAGGGACCGTGGAAAAAATAATCACTTTATCGAGAGATTCACGACCATGATTTTATTCAACTTATCGAGTATTTTTCAAGGGACCGGGAAAATATGTTCACTAGATAAAACGATGATTTTGTAATGTAGAAAATTATGAAAGACAAAATTCAGGATGACACGGCACACAGGGACGGGGGGAAAAATGATCACTTTATCGAGAGATTCAAATTTACGAGTTCAAATTATCAAAATATATCTTTTTTTTTAATAAGTTTATAGAGAATTGTTTTAACAAATGTTCGTTAGACAAACCTTTACTCGGGTAAAACCTCGGGCGAAGCCGGGTACGTCCGCTAGTAATATAATATAATACGGTTATGATTGTAGAACGACATTTTAAAATTATCCCGCATGTGTTTCTTTTGAACGAAAAATCGAAATTTATTTTAAGGAGAAATAACGACTATTTCTAACCCTAGGGATGAAGAATGTAAGTATGAAAAGGATATGAAATCTCTGGACACTTTATTTTTCCGTTCATCATTACTCTTCACAATTCATCCTTTCATACTTCATCCCTAGGGTTAGAAATAATCGTTATTTCTCCTTAAAAAAAATCGATTTTTCGTTCAAATAAACACATGCGGGAAAATTTCCAATGTCGTTCTACAATGGTTTAATTATTTAAACGGTATCTACAGAACAATGTTGTTTGGTAGGTCATAAAGCTGAAGTAAAAGGCTTATCACTGATTAGTGATTTTATAAATTTTCATATACACATTTTTTAAATTCAAAATAAGAGTGATGCAAATATGTTCATTCATTTTTACATATTTTGAGGTAAAAAGTAGAGGAAACCTTTTCAAAATATAGAATGCTGGTTGCTGGTAGTGAGCATTGGTTGGATGCTATGAGAGATTAGAAATCTCCTAAACCTCGGTGATGTAAAGGCAGGGGCTCTATCTGTAAGGAGACGCCTCGGACAACCACTTTGTAGCACCCTTTTTATTACTGACGCTTTGTAATGTATTGGCTTAGCCGATATTTTCCTTCAAATGTTGTGTATACGGATATTATGACGATATACATATGTATTTTATAATATTCAACTCTCACGATGGTGTTCACACACAAACATATATAAGCTATATAATAAAGGTCAATTACAGAAACTGTACTGTCGTGTGTAAAGATGTTTAGAATAAAAATAATCTGAGAGGTTGTGAGAAGAACGAAATTTCAAATAAAGAAAGTTGTCCTCATCAGACCACATTTTCTGACTCAATATCTTGCCTTCTTATAATGTTACATCATAGTTGATTCGCCCCTCCATTTATTCAGAATGATCTCTGTGATATGTTAAATATATTTAATATTAATATCAGCAGATTATATACTATAGTAACTTTCCTTTTGTAACATTGTTATTGGATAAGCGATAGAACTCTTCCTTTTTAGGTAATCAAATAAAATAAAGCATGAAGGAAGATGCTTCATGCTTATTTTATTTGATTAACATTGTTATTTAGAAAGAGGGGATCATATATGCGCCGCAACTCTTTTTATTAACGCGATTAAAGGAAGCTTTCGGGCAAGCCCTTCTTCAGCTAACTATAGTGTACAAACAAGGCAAACGAGAGAGAGATTATATAACGTTTTTAAAGAGAAATCTATGTAAATATAGTACAAAATATCTTAAAGAAATTTACATAATTGAATAAATATAAAGAATCAACTATAGACAGTTCAAAGGATTTAGTGGAGAGAAAAAAAATGGAATGGCTATTGTATCCGTTTACCATGAACATTGTTATTGTTTATATCTTGATTATTTATTTTTTGGAAAGAGGGGCGACCGAGGCGAAGAACCCAAGATCACCAACTACGAGGAACACAACCAAATAAATAAACACATTAAAATTTTACAAGTAAATATTTCATTAATTACTTTTTATCTACATTTATTATGGAACACCGCTCGGGAGACATATATGACACCAGTAGGAGGAAAACAAGGTCGATTACCCTGGAAAGATGCAACTTGGCGCAACAATATGAAGATCGTTATAAATCAGGTAATCTCTACCCGCTCTAAGAGCGGGAAAGAAATTGATCTAAATAAGCATAGGACGCTTCTACCGTCAAAATATATCGTCAAAACTAGACGCCATATATATCAGACCATAGCTGGACTATTCTCAGTTTGCCAAAGCTGGTGTTGTGGCTTTGTTACCGACCTGAGGCCGCTAGTTTGCGGCGACGGTCAATAGATGGCGTCTAGTTTTGACGTTTATTTTGACGGGAGTGGCGTCCTATGCTTTTATTTATAAACATAAAGGTTGCCTCTCTCGAAAAAATAGACGCTGGTCACAAAGCCACGTCACCAGCTTTGGCAAACTGATTTCGGGCTAATAGCCCTCGTCAGTCTATGACGACATTTATTTCATGAGATACTCAGGGGATTAAATTAAATATTCACAATCTGCCAAATAGATGTTTAGCTGGTAGAGTGGCTAGGCCAAATCTATGATCAAATATAGATGGCGCTTAGTTTTAGGGTCTATTTTGCCGGATTCTGATTGAATTTTCACCCGGAAAATTTTCCATCTATATCTGGGCCACAGATTTGGCCTAGCCACTCTACCAGCTAACCATTTCAGGTAGAAGACCTTGCCGGACACTCGAGCCTGGCAATGGGACGATGCTATCGACCCATTATCATGCTGCTAAGTATCCTGTAGTAAGTCGTTGGGAGAATTTGCCGTCGAAGACTAGCCAAATGTTTCGGTGAATAAATCTTCAATGTCTCTAATAAATATTGCAGATACCATTCTAAGGCCTTGCTGTTAGGCAGACAGCGAATGACAGTCACAATCTGGGCAAGGGATATGTCGGTGAGAAAGAGTATGGCCTTCTCACACAACTCCACAGGGGCCAGCTAGATGAGGAAAGAGAACATGATCCAAGCAACTTCTCAAATGCCCCGCGGCTTCGCTGCCCCTTAGAGATTAAGTCGGTAAAGATGGGGGAAGAGCGACGTCTGGCCCAGAGAGAACGCCCGAGTTTCGACAAGGACTATTTCATTCTCCATCTTCCGCTTAAGATACAACACATTTTTCTTGACGTAACCTCGACTCCGGAAGGCTCGAGGGACCTTATTGCTGATCCATTTTTTTCTTTTAAAACGCAGATAGATTTTTTAAATAATTATTCCGACATTTCATAAAAAGAATGATCCCATTCGATGGATGAAAAGGTCCTATTTTAACATTTTGCTGATGCTGATAATTCTTGTGAAATCTAGCCTCTTATTTAGATATGGGCAGCACAGTGGTCATTGGTTATAGTACCAATATAGTCATTGGTTTTTGAGTGATACGCGGTCGCAGAAATCCGATAGAAGTAGGATTCTGTTTAGACGTCCCCGGTTCTGATGTCTGTATACTGCATAAGCTCCTTCACAGTATCGAAGAAGGCTGAAGCGTCGAAGAGGTCGTCCCGATACGAAAGATTTGTGAGAGCATATTCTTAACAATATGGTGAAACCATAGACGACTCTTCTCAATTGCTCTGGTCGCCGAGGATCCACGCGCCAGAGCTGTAATGGTTTACAGATGGTTTTTAGTGGCGTAGATACATGTCATGGAAGAACTTCTTCGGACGGTGAAGGAACAGGCTTTGCTGTCAGTAATCACCAACAAGGAAGCTAATCTCCACTTCATGCCTTTTGAGAAAACAGTGAAATCAAATATTTTCCAGAACACACAGAAGCAAAGCCGCTCACGTTTAAGGACATTTGCGAGCTCATTTGGATTACCTTAAAGAATGCGTGACACGCGACAGCTTTGTGTTACCAGGTTTTCTTGTGAGAACCATAAGCATCCTGGCCAAGACGCTTTCTTCTTTGCAGCGTTGGATCTAACGATATGCTAATCCAGTTTTCCATTGTTGGTGAATGCCTGAAAAGAAGCTCTTTTTGTCAAGTCCAACTTCTGGAAACTCTCAACGACCAAATAGATGTTCTCGTTCTTTAATAGATCCCTATGTTGATTCTTATTATAGAAAATATCATGCCCTTTCTA